AAATACATTTCAAAGCATCCCTGTTGATCTCATAATTCAAATGTGCCTTGTCAAATACAAATTTGAATAAAAATTTTGATTCAAAGATTTATGCAAACGGTTTTTCGCGATATTCATCATACGAATTTATCATCTTACTTGTCCGTAAGTTTTTGAAGCATTTTAACTTTTGTTTTTATATATTCATGCCATACCATTTTTGTTTTCAGATTGTGAAAATGCCAAACCGAACGTGCATAGCCGGATGCCCTCTGGGAGTACCCCTCTATCCTTTTCCTCTGGAAGGGGAAATGGCCAGGTAAGTAGAAATAATTTAAAAAAACAGAAGTGGATTATTGGAGCTCCCACACAGTGCAGACTTTATCGACCCCCGACTTAGTTGGGGCTCGCTTGAATAGATGTATGGTGAGCGCACTACACCAACTTAATCGCGCCCGAAAATGCAATGGACAGACAAGCAAGCCCATATAACCGGCAATAAAGTCTGCAGTGTGCGGTGGCTCTGAAAGCTAGAAATGTCTGTGGCCAGTGCAGTCAGAGTAGACAGAGGGGTTTATTTGTATAGCAGTAATTAAGATTTAAGATTTATTTAAGTCTTTTACATTAGGTTACATTACTCTAGTGCGTTTAGTTTTTCTTGCTTCCTATTGTTAAAAAGTATGGCCGTTTTTGCAATATTTGATATTTTTTAACTAAAAATAATTGATAATAGGCGTGTGAATAAAAACTAAAGGCCTTATTCATAAAAAATAAAGTAGGTTTAAAGAGCTTTATAAAATGACATTTTCATACATTTTTCAGTTTATAAACCTTTTTTAAAGCTACTTTATTTTTTATGAATAAGGCCATAAGGAATTGATTTTTCTTAAATTCCTACACCTTTTATAACAATTTTGTTATAATAAATCGAGTAAAAGGTCTGAAATTTTAAGAAAAAGTAAATTTTTTTTTTTTTTTTTTGCTATTTCTTAGATTTTCTTATATACATGCACTTCGTATTTGTAGATAGTATGGGTGAAAATAGGCCTCCTGGGGAACCGAACACCCAAAAAAAAAAATCGGTAACGCGCCTTTATTGCAACCTCAGTGGTGGTGTGGAAAAGCAATAAGTTAAAAAAAAATAAAGAATATCCATTTGAAATAAAAAATCCTTTTAAAGTATAAACCTTTATTTTATTAATAATCAATTATGGCAAGCGTTTCTAAGACATCATCATAACCATTCTACAAAACGGGATATTAAATAAATCTATGTATAAAGATATTAAACTATAATAATAATAATAATATATTAATCAATTTACTATTCTTTTGATATATATTAACAGTTGGAAATCATTTATCGTGGTTTACGAAAATTCAGTTTTCTTACAACTACAAAATTTGAGGACTTTTCCACTGCTTACATATAGATGATTTCAAAAGTTGCGAAATTTGCATAAAAATGTTAAACGAATTCAATGGTATTTTAATTAAAAGAAAGGTAATCGATTTATCTTTCTTTTGATATATATTAACAATTGGAAATCATTTATAGTGGTTCAAGAAAATGCAGTTTTCTTACAACTTTGCTAAATTTTAGAACCTTTCCACTGCTTACATATAGATGATTTCAAAAGTTGCGAAATTTGCATAAAAATGTCCAGCGATTTAAATGGTTTTATAATCAAAGGAAAGGTAATCCTTTTAGCTTTCTTTTGATATATATTAACAATTGGAAATCAGTTATAGTGGTGCAAGAAAATGCAGTTTTCTTAAAACTTTGCAAAATTTTAGGAATTTTACAATTCCTACATATGTATATGTTTTTTGCCTCGTTGTAATTCGCCATAAATCTGTGGTATACATTGTTACTAGCCGCTGATGGTGTTGATGGCATTGAATTTGGTGATGGCGTTGATGATGCTGGTGGTGAATGTCAAATATGTAAACAAACAAAAATAGCAATTAAAATTTATAAACATGAAAAATATCAATGTATACCTTTAGAATATGACTATGTCGGTGATGTTTCAAAGAATAAACTATTAACATGCTTTCATCATGAGCGAGCGTCTCATTTTTGCTGAGGGAGATATTTTAATTTGCCTCCAGTAGCGCTTCATTTATTTCACCGAGCCTTAAACATAGTATAATATTAATTTGGAAAGGGGAATGCAATAAAACAGGAATGCATAAACAGGTTATTATTGTCGTTGTTGTTGATGGAAAACCGACTGAGGCCGGGCTTCGTAATGCGGCTACTACTACAACAACCACAACTATTCACTGATAAAGGGCCTGCTCGAGGCACGCAATAAAAGCACAAAAACTGCAGCGCTGATGAAAATTTGCAAGACGGTTCCAACATCCTAATTGGTAAAACGTTGCTACAAATTCACAGCGAACGTGATGCTTTATTCACGCAACACTACAGTTGTAATTGCAACTCGAACAAGCCCAAACACTTCCAAAGCTCAGGAAACTGCTCCACCAATACAACTTATTGTCCAAAGAAGATTGGCTGCAGTTGACTATAACAGAATGATAAGAGCACTTTACCAATGCACTAATATGTCGCTCTGGAAAGAAATATACATTAATTTATATGTTTTCTTAAAAATAAATGCAAATTTACCTAATTTTTCCACCGGCAGGCACGAATATGATATTCAAAACAGAAGCAATGACAACGAATTTTACACACATTGTTGTATTTTAGCGCAAAACGATAAGTTTCACAAATATTTTAAATTATTGCCTGGAACATACACATTTATCGTTATTATTGGAAATGGAAGACTTGGCACGCATTTTTAATTTCTTTTTTATTGAATTCAAATGTAAAAAATACATTTTTCTAAAATATTTCTCAGTTTACATTTTAAAGTTTTTTCTGAAACTTGAATGTAACTCTGTGCGGAGAATGAGAGAATTGAAAATCAGGTGATCTCAGCTGTTTTCAAATGTAAACAAACAAAATGGCGCTTTCCATACTTGTAAGCCTATACAATGTTAGAAAGCAATGAAATAAAAAATAAAAATGTATTTGTACAAAGACAAATAAAAAGAGAGAAGTTGCTGTATTTGCACTGTTTTTCTTGTTGTAGCTTAAGCGACGTTGCTGGCCCCACTTAGGTCACCCTAGCTCTTGTAACGGTAGTCCAGGGAGCTTTGCTGCTATTTCGACGAGGTTGACTCCAGGCGGAGAGAATTTGAACCTGATGATGAAGATGTGCCTCGGGTCATATCAGATGATCCCATGGCCGCACTGTGCGAGGCATTTTAGCAGGACTGCAGCCTAGAGTTTCCGCCAAGGATTTTCGGGTTTCTCACTGTCATTCTCACATGGTAATTTTTGTAAAAAATTCCCCAGGTTTCCTTAGAGGGGCTAAGGGGTGAGGATAACTTTTCTTTAAGTTTACAAACTGCTTTCTCTAGGGAATTGGGTTTGGAAATCCACACCTTCTACTCGGCCCACCACACCAAAATCAAAAAAAGAATGCTACTTACCTTAACGTAATCATAATCCTTTCCTCCGGGCTAACGCATTCTCTCATATTAGTATTTTGCTTTTGAATAGCCGGCTTGACAATTTCCACAAGCTCCTTAAATGCATTTTTAGACATTCTGTAAAATGTCTGGAATTTGAAATCGTCTTCTTCTAACTCCTTAGCGGCAATGAATAATCTTCTATGTTAGTTGTTTTTAATATATGGATGCACCCAATGCTTCCTTTTTCTTTTATTTCTCCTTCGATGTAGGAGATAATTTAATAAAATAAATTCTTCATCGCTGCTCGACATTTTCACAACTCGTACTTTGACGATAGATAGTCGCATTGTGTGCGGACCTGTTAGCGTATCGTCATCGTCGCTGCATGAAAAATTAGTGTCGCGCCGATGACGATACGATGACGAGGCGAGTCGTGTGCGGAGTGCCTAATGCAGCGTTTTTGATGCATTTTAAATGCAACATTTAGCACTTTCGAACATATGTTTTCGAAGAGCGTTCATGCTACCGCATTTAGCAAATGTACATTTACGCGAGTTCGAAATCGTATGCTTTTGACAAACAGCCGTGTTCCAGTCGCTTATTCAGATCCGTATCTATTACGATAAATTCTCACGGAAAAGATAATGTGCAAAAACCCCTACTAAAAAGGAAAAAATAAATTCTAAACCGAAAATTCAATACAAAAACTTGAATTGTTTTAACCATAACCGAACATTTGTTTGTGTATATATTCATTTGTCAACGATGTTAACGGATTATTAGAAAACGAATAAACTAGTTCGGCTTCTGACCAAAAAATGACTGGCCTTTGCCAGAATAAAGATTGATATAAAGCTTAGGGCCGTTTACTCAATGTCTGGTTAACACTAATCTGAGGTTAAACATCGTTATCGACGTCTTCGACTCCATGCATACAACAGGGAGTCGGTAACGTCGATAACTATGTTTAACGGGAGATTAGCGTTAACCAGACATTGAGTAACCGGTCCTTAAGTAAGTTGTTTAATAAGTATTTGTAGTTGTATGGCCAATGATTCCTTCGCTTTTATTTACTTTTATCGGGTGAATATATTTTACCTTATTCCTCTTGCATTTATTAACCAACACCCAGTGGAATATATTAGAGATGCCAAAATGCATATGCGAAAAATTATGATCCCGGGATTTCGGGATATTTTTTAAGGATACACATTGAGGAGTAACTTTTATGACTATTATATGAAATTCAATAACTGAACGCATTTAAATAAACCATGAAATGAAACCGTTTAAAATTTACGACAAACTGATTGTAAAAATCACATATGGGCATTCCCATGGTGGCGCACGTGACAGTCGTACGATTTCAATGTGATACAAAAAAGGAATACCATTTGTTTTCTTTAACTTTTTTGGGCCATTGTATAGCACGTAATTAGCTCTATATTCAACCGAAAAATTAAATCAATCGAACTGCTTGGTCCTGAAATATAAGCATTTAAAGAGAGGTTCGTTACGTGACAAAAAATGGAAGTTGATTTTTTCTTTTCTTACAAAATCGCAGAACTCTGCGAATTGTGGATGGCTATTTTGATGAAACTTATTTTGATATGATTTGGAGCAATTCTAGTTGTTTTTAGAGTTTTTTGAATTAATGCAAATTGTTTCAATTCTCTTTTACAACACCAAGTGTGAAACGTGACGTGACGTGGCATCACGTGACATAAATTTCCATCGTTATGTTTTTGTTAATATTGCTTTTAAATGAATTTTCAACGCAAATAAACCATGTATTTTATGTAGAATATACTTTATATTTTGACTTCAGCGCCAATTCAGGGTCAATTTATTAGAAATCTATGATTTATTATGTTTCAACCACATGCGCCAAATTCGAACCAAATCGGACCATAAATACGGTTTTTCGAAATATCTCGACCTTGGCACCACCTAGGAAGACCAATTTATGCAAACATTATTCTTCTTACATAGCCAGTATATATTTTAAAAAGCAGAAAAATCGGCCCGTAAATACGTTAGATATAAAACTTTTATTTTTTTTTGTCGTGGTGGACCTTCCGCTGGAAACACCCATATTTATTAATACAAAGTAATACATTTTTATACCCGAGCGCACATGTGCACAAGGGTATTATAATTTTGTTCACGTAACGGAAGACAAATGTATACATAAATGATCAGAATAAAAAGAGAAGCCGATTAAGCCATGTCTGTCTGTCCGTCCGTCCGTCCGTCCGTGTACACGAAAACTCGAGCAAAAATTGAGATATTTTCGAGAAAGGCAAACTCTACGATATTTCAGTAAATATTCAATCGAAACTGTTGAAAATTAGTATGTAAGGTGTTATTATGGTAAAAAATAATACTATTATGAAATTTTTGGAAAATGGGCGTGACCCCGCCTGCTTATGATGAAATGCTGTATCTCAGTAGCCGCTTCTCCAATCCCTACCAAACTCGGTCCGAGCTGGGTCTAACTAAGAAATCTGTTGAAAATCTTTGAAATCGGGCAATAACCACGCCCACCTCTCATATAACGGTAATTTATAGAAACTAGAAAACTGCGATAAATCAGTAATTATTGAGGCTGATTCACTAAAAATCGACGGTTGCAATAATCACCTAGCATGAAATTTGATAATTATAAATTTTTTGGATAATGGGCGTGGCGCCGCCCACTTATGACCACAAATGTTTATCGCGGTAACCGGTTCATGAAGTTCAACCAAAATTGGTGTGCCTTATAACCTTGGTACATAAAAGTAATTTGTTGAAAATTATTCAAATCGGACTAAAATTACACCTCCTTCCCGTATAACGGTAAATTTCAAAAATACGAAAACTCCGATATTTCAAAAACTGAGGGCACTAATTTGCTCCAAGTTAATACTTGCAACAACCTCTAAACAATAAATAAGACCGTTATAGACTTTTAGGAATTGGGCGTGGTACCGCCCACTTTGTGACTACAAATGTATATCTCGGTAACCCCTTTATTGACCTGAAGTTTTTACATAAAAAACCTACTGATGAAAAACATATTTCGGCGTCAACACTTTAAGGCTGAACTGATAATGACCCCTACCACCTCCATTAAGTTTGAATATATTTATTTCAAAAATTATGTAACTTTTCCTTTAAACTTTCTGTCAATGTTTACATTAGCGACGTTATGAGTACATTCAATAAAATCTTTTCCAAAAAAAGCTCAGGCTGCAATTTCAAAAGTAAAGTTGCAAGCTTCTTGTTAATTGTATTCATAACGGCGTTCTACAAAAAAGTTAGTGTGAATAAATTATAGGCGATTATCCTTCTACAAACAAACTGTTGAAAGATTAGTGACTAAAAACTATTCACAGTCGCTTATTGAACGAAAAATCGATATTCACAATTCCATGGAAAAGTGATAATCGAATAACAGTCGTTCACCTACTACTAGTCGACACTCGCAATAGGGGTGTAAGACTAATTTATTGATGTAGGTGCTTTCAAATTGGATTAGTCCGTTAGGGAGTAATCTACTGACCTTTGTAAAAAGTTGAATTTAGGAAGAAAATGAGTTAGGGCATTTCTATACTAAGGTCACGATAGATATACTGATCCTAAACCGATCATTCTCAAATTTTAGCCGAGGCTGTAAATAGTGAATAAACCAATTAATTTAAAGCGCATTTTCTAATATCTTAAAATTTACCTTTGTAGTCGATGATAACCTGGGGTGAACTAACGATTTTTTTAAAGAAACAATTTATGTAAAATTTAACTTACGACCATTTATAATATACTGCTATACATATATATATATATATATATATGGGGCGTTCTTTGTCAGAAAAGCCACCCCCCTGCACACTTTAATTTTTGAGATAAATTAATGATTTTGGGCTTAAATTTTTTCTTAACTAATCTGGTTTTTTATACCGTATGGCGAATTTTTATACTTTTGTGATTTATAAGCGTTTTGGTCACTTTTTTGGCCAAAGATGAGTACGAAAAAACTAAAAATGCGAAGAAAACTATTTGGGTCGTTAAAGGGTTAATTTTAGAAAAAATATCGTTTAACAAAAAATGCTTAAATTATGCTACAAAACATGGATGCGAATTTTCAGATTTTTTTGAACGCTTGAATTTTGCAAAAAAAATTGCCAAATGCAAAACCAAAAATTGACATT